TCATCATGTCCAATCATTGGTTTTCCCTGAGGAAACACCATCTAACCCACTCATGCCGTAATCTGCTATTGCCAAAAAATTACCCAAATGTCGTATAGCATCAACTATGCCTTTTTGATTGAAGATCCTTATCAATGTAGCACTCCATGTATAATTGCTCTTGAAAAGTGAAAATAAGGACAGATAGTAGGAGCCCTCATGGCACAGTGGTTAGAACGCAGTATTGCAGACTAACTCTGCCCATTGCCAGGAGTTCGATCCTGGTTTGCTCAAGGTTGACTCAGCTTTCCATCCTTCTGAGATCGGTAAAGTGAGGACTCAGATTGTTGGAGGCAATACACTGACATTGTAAACTGCTTAGTGAGTCCTGTAAAGCACTATGAAGTGGTATATAAATCTAAGCGCTATTGCTATCGTTAGTAATTATAACTATCTTTGGGCAACATGCTAAACCATAGACTTTTTGGGTTTATTAATCATGGTTTATTAAATAAACCACAACTACCAAGTTCACAGAACATGAATAACCTAGAGATTCATCAGCCACGTGGACTGGGTACTTGAGATACTTGAAGCTATTTTCTCACACGCATAAAGCATAAAGCACACAATATTGTGATTTAGCATGCTGTGAGGAATCCAACAATAGTCTATATGTAAACATGCTCACATCCACATGCCAGTATTTTGCAGAACATTTTCAATTTCTAAAACGTCAAGACAAAAATGAGTTGCATAAATGAGATTTAAAACAACTTCCAATGTTGGTAGAAGAGCAATATTAATCCATCTGAAGGAAAATGATTGTTTTTAGCAGTCAAGACCATTAGATGTCTGCTTGTTTGTTTCTCACAAATTTATCCCAGCATGGGGGGAAAAGATAATTATCTGCAGTTGAACAAAATCTCCGGAGTGTAAGCTAATTTCCTACAAACTACTTCAAGAAGGGGAAAATGCCTACACTGGTAACTATGCAGCATTCTGTTTTTGACAGTTTGTATTTTTCATTTCCCCCCCCCCCAGAATAGGATACCATCTGCATTGACCAGCATAACACCTCTGAGACTTTGCTGGATAGTTTAAAGCAGGGGTGTCAAACTTGATTTCATTGAGGGCCGCATCAGGGTTGTGTTTGACCTTGGGGGGGGGGGGCATGGCCTGGCCAGGCCAGGCATGGGCAACTCGACATCACTCGTGTTGGGGGCGCTTCTGGTGGCCCAAGTGTTCTATCAGCAAAAACAGGCTCGTGAGCTCCGTTTTTGGCTGCGACGGCCTCCTGCAACCCTCTGCTGCATGCATCCCTCCCGAGCTCCGTTTTCACTAGCAGAGGCACCGTGGGCTGGTCCTTCACTGTTTCTAAGGCAGCCCCGTAGGCCAGATCTAAGCACCCCTTGGGCCGAATTCGGCCCCCGGGCTTTGAGTTTGACACCCCTGGTTTAGAGGCTGCTTTCTTGTTCTCCTCCATGTTAGTTTTGGGTTTAACAAGGGAGAAGGAAGAATTCTACAAAAATAAATAAGTCTAGTTGAAACTTTGAGACGTGATTTTTTATATTCCATCAACTCAGTGGTGAGTCTTTACAGATACAAAGAAAGGCTTATGTATCTGCAATTATCTGGTCCTTCAAATCTTCCAACAAAGTCACTAGAACTAAATCCATCCACATCACTGCTAAGCAGTTGGTTTTTGGCTGGCCCCTCCCATACTGCCCTTCCCCTCTCAGGAGTCTTCACGTGGCCCATTTTGGATGCCAGGTAAGTACAGGGCGGAGGCTCTGGGAGGGCGTTTTTGGCCTGGGGGGGCAGGGGAGGCTGTTTTTGCCCTCCCCAGGCTCCAGGAAAGCCTCTGAAGCCTTGGGAGGCCGAAAAACTGACCTGTCAGGCCTACCGGAAGCCTGGAAATGGGCCATTTCTGGCCTCTGGAGGCTTCAGGGAGGCCTGCTCGGTCCAAAACAGGGCACGGGGGGTCATGCATGCATGTGCGGGGAAGCACAGGGGGGTCGCGGGCACATGTGTGGGGCATGGGGGCATTGAATTATGGGTGTGGGCACACATGCGCATGACCCCCCCCACTCTCCCCACTTTTGGCACGTGACAGCAAAAAGGTTAGCCATCACTGCTCTATACAGCAGTGGCCAATCACTCTCAGATCAACTCAATTCACAGAGTGGTTGTTCTGGGAAAAATAGGACAAGGAAAGAGTGCATGTAGTCCTCGAGTTACGAGTGTAATGGAGCCTGCCCATTCCATTTGTAACCCAAGGATTCGTGGGAGTGCCAGGCAAGGCCTCTAGAGCCCTGAACTGAGCATCGGAGTGCCAGACAAATGTTGCAGAGCCTCTGCGGTTGTTTGTAAGGGCAAACAACTGCTGCGGTGCCGCAAGATTCACAGTTTCTCGACTTGTTTGTAAATGCTAGGGAACACTCATACCTGGGGGATTACCTGTATTGTGTATGTTTGCTGCCTGGAGTTATTTCTAAAAATAATAAAGGCGAGATACAAATCAATAAAATAAAATAAAAATAACTATTTTTAAAAAGTGTACTCCTTGACTTTTATTATTAGTGCCTAAAGATCAATTGTATGTTCTCTTAAACATTTACCACTCTTCCTATTTTATCTCATCCAGCCATCAAAATTGTGATGCTTCCTTGTAGATGATGGCTGTATGACTACATGCATGTACAAAAAAAGGAGGGGGTTGCATCTCAGTTTTGCTTCTACAATCTTGCTTTTTTTGATTTCTACTATCCTGGCTGAGCATACTAAAAAGCAGAGACATCACCCTCCCAACAAAAGTGTGTATAGTCAAGGCTTGGTTTTCCCAGTTGCAATGTATGGCTGTGAAAGTTGGACCATAAGGAAGGCTGAGCACCAAAGAATTGAAGCCTTTGAACTCTGGTGCTGGAGAAGACTCCTGCGAGTCCCTTGGACTGCAAGGCGATCAAACTGGTCAGTCCTAGAAGAGATCAACCCTGACTGCTCTTTAGAAGGCCAGATCCTGAAGATGAAACTCAAATACTTTGGTCATCTAATGAGAAGGAAGGACTCACTGGAGAAGAGCCTAATGCTGGGAAAGATAGAGGGCAAAAGAAGAAGGGGACGACAGAGGACGAGGTGGCTGGATGGAGTCACTGAAGAAGTCAGCGTGAGCTCAAAGGACTCCGGAGGCTGGAAGAAGACAGAAAAGCCTGGAGGAATGTTGTCCATGGGGTCACGATGGGTCAGACATGACTTCACAACTAACAACAACAATAGGAAGGACTGTAAAAGCAAATTTAGCAATAGCACTTAGCAATAGCAACTTAGACTTATATATCACTTCATAGTGCTTTACAGCCTTCTCCCTAAACCACTTAGAGAGGGCTATAAAGCACTGTGAAGTGGTATATAAGTCAAAGTGCTAGTGCCTCAACAATCTGGGTCTTCATTTTATCAATCTTGGAAGGATGGAGGGTTGAGTCAACCTTGAGTCAGTCAGGATTGAATTCCTGACAGTGAGCAGTGAATTAGCCTGCAGTACTGAATTCTAACCATCGCGCCACCACAGTTCATAATACCCATATTAGATACCCATATCAAACTGATCATCTGGGCATATTCAGTGAGGAAGGAACAAACTTTGTGCAGAATCCAAAATACGAAAGGCAGATACAGGCCACCGGATTTAGGGCTGGTATTCTTTTTTTAATTTAAAATCAGGTACTACTGAACTATGCTGTGCGATCGGAGAAATAAATGAGGTGGACTTTCTTTGATTGATACATCCCTAAACTGGAAAAGACACCATTCCTGCTTGGTCTGTTCTAAAATGTTTGCAGATTCTACATTTGTGCATACATCCGAAATGTCAGAGGACAAAAAGAAAAGGTTATGAGATGGATGGAAAAGTAGTACACATTTTATCTCTTGCATTTGATCCAGTGGTGGGTTGCTACCAGTTCGCCGCGGTTCGGGTGAACCTGTAGCAGCAGTGGCGGGAGGCTCTGCCCACCCCCACCCCCCCTGGATGTCATCAAATACGCTCTGCACGAGCGAACTGGTAGCAAAGATAAGCGAAACCCACCACTGATTTGATGTAGTCAAGAGATAAATGGGGGATGGGGGAGGGAGGGGAAATCATGGAGTTAGCACAGCTTTTCTGTGAACAAAACAAGCCTTTTGGCCTTCAGACTTCAGTCCGACTCACACGAATTTGGCATTCTGATTTTCCACTCATGTTTTCCAGAAATTGGTACGGAGTGGTAGATCTGTTGTCCCATGTCTTAGACTGCAAATGCCATTATCCCTGGTCAATACAGGACCTGGATTGTTGTCTTGGATGTCACTGTTTATCTAGTGTGAAAAGGATAAATGCTTTCTTCCCCTCCTCCTCCTCCTCCTCCTCCTCCTCCTCCTCCTCCTCCTCCTCCTTCTTCTTCTTCTTCTTCTTCTTCTTCTTCTGCCATATCCATCATAGGACATTGGCGATCATGTTGGTGATCCTATTTTTATCAACAGCCGCAAGAAAAAGTGCTGCTGAGTTTTGTCCAAACGAGTCCTTTAGATTTTGAAGCCACGATGTTATTCGGCACTGACTAATGCAATAATGCACTGCGCGTGGGACCCACTCCCACTCCCCACCCCCTGCACATGCATGTGCGACCCCGTGTGCCCTACCTTTGTGCATGCGCGCATGACTCCCGCATGTGCACCCCGCCCCTGCGGGAGACATGCATGCGCACGTGTCGCAGCTTCTGCAGGCAAGTTGTTCCACTGATTAATTGTTCTCACTGTCAGGAAATTTCTCCTTAGTTCTAAGTTGATTCTCTCCTTGATTAGTTTCCACCCATTGCTTCTTGCCCTACCCTCAGGTGCTTCGTAGAATAGCTTGACTCCCTCTTCTTTGTGGCAACCCCTGAGATATGGCAACAGTGCTATCACTGCTCCCTTTACCTTTGAACAAGATGAAAAACCTCAAGATTCCATCCTCAGTCAGGAACACGCCCCTCCCCCCCATTGTCTCAACATTCCATCTCATAACAATGGACTTCCCCAGCTCTGCTGCCCCTCCTGAAGGGCCCATTTAGCCTCATAATAGACCGAAGCTCAGGTACGCAGACTAGGACCTGCCTAGTTTCCCCAAACTATCCAGCCAATCAGATGCCTAGGATTTCCTTCTTTTAATCAGAGTCTTTGAACAATGCCCAGGGCTTAGAAGTGGAGATGAGCACTGCCCCCCTAGAGTCACACATGACCGGACAGGGTGAGTCAGTTTGTCATCTTCCAACTTCCTAAGAAAGATTTAGTTTAGAATTTACAGCGTTACATTTATTCTGATGAATTTATTTTTTAGGTTAAGGTACACTTATCATGAATCCACCCACACTTACTGAGTTTCAGTGGCCTCAGTGGCCTCTGTGAAACAAGGTTTCTCTTTTTGTGCCTCCATCAAGTCACTGGAAATTTATTCTACGTTTCCCAAAAAAATAAAATGTAAAAATCAGATTTAATTCAATAGCAACCGTTGCTCAAAGGGCTATTAGCCAGAAATGGCGCAGTGACTCATAAACCACACTCTGTGAAATACTGACAACCCAATTCCTACTATGAATTTAAATGAAAATTAGATTATGAGCTGAGGTGGTTAGAGAAGCTGAACTTATTAATTGTAACTAAACAATGTGTGACTCATTGGATCATTGTTTCAGATTTGTTTCTTTACTAGATTCCTCAATGCCTCCAATGGCAGAACTTCTAAATATATTTCTTTCCCTGAAAATGTTCCTAAAAATGCAAGGAGATTTTTCTGAGCTGTGACTGCCTTGAAAGTAGCAATATTGAACTGTGTGGCATAATCAAACCACAGGAACTGACCACAGGAAATGTTTGATGACATTTTGTATTAGGCCAAAAAAAAAAAAAGTTTTAGGAAAATGCTTATAAAATGTTTTTCAAAAATTTGTCATAAAATGTTTTTCAAAAATTTGCATTCCATGGGTTCCTGATTTTGGATGCATTCTTTAAGTTGGTCTATCTGATGTCAGGCCTGGAAGCCATCTTTTGCCTTGGGCCTTCAGGCCTGCCACATTTACTACTGTGCCAAAATGGGAGGGGGGATTGTATGGAGCAGTGGTGATATATAATCATAATAACATTCCTTTTTCAGAGAGTCAAGGACATCTTGCCCTGCACCTGGATGGATGAAACTGGGAGCCATCTCCAGTTGGGAAGGTGCTTTGATTGGACCATGTGATGATGGACTTGTGGGTGTTGGGCAGGGACTTGGACTTTCCTTTGGGTGGGGAAAACCTGGAAACTTTCAGATTCGGGTTTTCCCACATGTGCCAATATGACATCTTTAATAAAATGGAACTTTGAGGAAACTCAAGCCTCGGAGTCTTCTTTCATTGGGGGTGTTACTTGGAACCCTGACATTAACCCAAATCTCCTATAAAAACTTCAACCAGCTCCCCTGAACTCTGGGGTGCTGTCCGGGGTCCTGAGCCCTGAGGTACTTTGGTTCAAAAATTGTTGTCTTATGATGCACTATTTTGCCCAGTCAAAGGTTACACATGGGCCAACAGGAGATTTTCAGTAGTAAATAGATGAAACTTGATTCCAGGAACTTTTATGGTAGAACCTAAATGTGTATAAGATACAAACATCTCTCTCCAAGCCACCCAAATCCCTAGAATCAATGTATTACACCGATTAAGGTTGCTTTAAGGTGAATGTCCTATTATCTTCACACTTTTTCACCACACCCTTCTGTGTATATTCTTGGCCACAGCAATAATTGTATGCCATGCCTCCAGTGATCTGCTGTCATTCAGTTGGCTTTGAGACAATGAGATGAAGCCAAATCAGACGGAGGATAATATTTGCTAGCTTCATCCTTAGTGGCTTATAGCAGGGGTCTATGTTTACAGATTTACAGATTAACAGAGTTCAAAGGGACCTTGTAGGTCATCTGGTCCAATCCCCCACCCAAGCAGGAGACTCTATACCTTTTCTGACAAATGGCAGTCCAGTCTCTTCTTGAAAGTTTCCAGTGATGAAGCTCCCACAACTTCCGAAGGCAAACGGTTCCGTTGGCTGATTGTTCTCACTGTCAGATAATTTCTCTTTATTTCCAGGTTGAATCTCTCCTTGATCAGTTTCCATCCATTATGCCTTGTCTGGCCTTCGGGTGCTTTGGAAAATAGCTTGACCCCCTCCTCTCTGTGGCAGCCCCTCAAATATTGGAACACTGCTATCCTTACGGGACCGCCTACTACCATCAATAGCCTCCCACTGACCAGTACGCTCCCACAGAGAGGGGCTCCTCCAGGTGCCGTCGGCCAAACAATGTCGGCTGTCGGCCCCTAGGGGGAGAGCCTTCTCTGTGGGGGCACCAACAATCTGGAATGAGCTCCCCCCAGAGATACGGAGGATTCCGGACCTGCGCACCTTCCGCCGCGAGCTGAAGACGCTGTTATTTCATCAAGCTGACCTCGCCTAAATCTTCTCCCTTTTAAGTGTAAATTTTAAATTTTTACTGTATTTTAAAATATGGGAATTTTAAATTATGGGTATTAATTCAGCCAAATTTATTTAATTCATTTTATTCGATTTTAAATTTTGTACATCTATGTGTTTTATTTCATGGCTGTGCACCGCCCTGAGTCCTTCGGGAGTAGGGCAGTATAGAAATTCAATAAAATCTAAAAAAATCTAAAATCCTGTCGCCCCTGGTCCTTCTCTTCACTAGACTAGCCATGCCCAGTTCCTGCAACCGTTCTTCATATGTTTTAGCCTCCAGTCCCCTAATCATCCTGGTTGCTCTTCTCTGCACTCTTTCTAGAGTCTCCACATCTTTTTTATAGTGTGGTGACCAAAACTGGATGCAGTACTCTAAGTGTGATCTTACTAAGGCTTTATAGAGTGATATTAGTACTTCACTTGATCTTGATTGTCCCCAATTCCCAAGCCATGGACTGGTAGCAGTTCATGGCCTGTTAGGAATTGGGCTACACAGGTGGAAGTGAGCGGTGGACAAGCGAAATTGTGCATGAAAGAGATTGAAGTTGCATGTTCTTACTCTCCCTCCTCCAGTCCGTGGAAAAATTGTCTTCCACAAAACTGGTCCCTGGTGCCAGAAAGGCTGGGGACCACTGGCTTATAGGACATATAACTACACATTGGCAAAAAATAAATAAATAAATAAATCAGAACACCAAATACATCTCGTAGATGACCCTCACTATGTCAAGGACCTAGGAGTACTCATCTCAAACGATCTAAGCCCCAGAGCTCACTGTAACAGCATTGCCAAAAAGGCATTAAGAATTGTTAACCTAATTTGCGAAGCTTCTCTGGTAACATTGCATTGCAAACTAGGGCATACAAAATCTTTGCCAGACCAATTCTTGAATACAGCTCATCTGCCTGGAATCCACACTCTATATCGGACATTAACACTATTGAGTGGGTCCAGAGGTATTTCACGAGACGAGTACTCTTCTCCTCTACTCACAATAGAATCCCTTATGCCACCAGGCTTTAAATTCTGGACTTGGACAATCTGGAACTGCGCCGCCTGTGGTCTGATCTAAACATAGTACACAAAATTGTCTGCTACAACATCCTACCTGTCAACAACATCTTCAGCTTCAACCACAATAATACATGGGCAAACAATCGATACAAACTCAAGGTAAGCCACTCCAAACTCGACTGCAGAAAATACGACTTCAGCAACAGAGTGGTCAATGCCTGGAATGCTCTATCCGACTCCGTTGTTACAGCCTCAAACCCTCACAACTTCAACCTCAAACTGTCCACCGTGGACCTCACCCCATTCCTAAGAGGTCCTTAAAGGGGGCGTGCATAAGCGTGCCCACTGTCCCTGTCTTACTATCCCCATTTATCTGTACTTACTTCCTTTGTTTATGTTCATGTTTATACTTATACCTGCTATCTTCTACATGTTTGACTAAATAAATAAATATGTTTGTGAAAGCCACAAGATCATTTATAAGTGAAATAAACTTTTTATGATTCCTTCATTCCTCTCCATTCCATACATCAGTGAGTACAATAATATAAATGCCGATAATGCATAATATAAACATTTTAAAATAATAAGTGGAATAATTTTGGATCACATTAACAGAAATGATTCGGTCATATATATTTTTCCGCATCTCAGCCTGTTTCAATACTTGTGGGAAGAATGGTTAGAGATACAAGGTTCCCCCCCTCCCCTTAAGTACTGTAACTCATGTTGGACTATTGATGGACTTACTCTGCCCTCTGGTGGTTTATCCTGTCCTGCTCTATTCGAAACAGATTACAGTCTGTGCTTGGTGATTTTACCATAGCATAGTTTGCTATTTGCGTGTAATTGTTTTGCTTCTATAAGTCCTACCCTCAAAACGATGCTATAGGTATCACAGCACACCAAGACAACTAGACACAAGAACAGTTTTTTCCCAAACGCCATCACTCTACTAAACAAATAATTCCCTCAACACTGTCAAACTATTCACTAAGGTTGCATTATTATTACTATTAGTCTTCTCATCGTTCCTATCACCTATCTCCTCCCACTTCTGAATGCATGACTGTAACTTTGTTGCTTGTATCCTTATGATTTATATTGCTTGATTGTTTCCTGATTGCTTATTTGTACCCTATGACTATCATTAAGTGTTGTACCTTACAATTCTTGACGAATGTATATTGTCTTTTTATGTACACTGAGAGCGTATGCACCAAAGACAAAGTCCTTGTGTGTCCAATCACACTTGGCCAATAAAGAATTCTATTCTATTCTATTCTATTCTATTCTATTCTATTCTATTCTATTCTATGATTATAGAAGTAGCGTGCATTTTATTATGTGTATGTGTTGTATTTTTATAATCGCTTATTTATTTATTTATTTGTATCTTGCCTTTATTATTTTCACAAATAACTCAAGATGGTGTGGGAAGCCCTCCTCCACCCCCCAGAAGAATGAAATATTTGGAAAATATTAAAAAAGGCAGAATATTATATTTCTCCTAAAGGAGAAATGAAAATTTTTTTTTAAGAGAGGCAGAAACTGGCCCCAGTTTCCCTATGCCAAGCAGAAACTGAGGAGGCCATCAGTGGTCGGTTTGAAATTTTGTTACTACCGGTTCTGTGGGTGTGGCTTGGTGGGAATGGCATGGCTTGGTGGCCGTGGCTTGGAGGGTGTGGCAGGGGAAGGATACTGTAAAATCTCCATTCCCACCCCACTCCAGGGGAAGGATACTGCAAAATCCCCATTTCCTCTCAATCAGCTGGGACTCAAGAGGCAGAGAATAAATGGGGGCCGGGCCAGTCAGAGGTCGTATTTACTGGTTCTCCGAATTACTCAAAATTACCGGTTTTCCAGAACTGGTCAGAACCTGCTGAAGCCAACCTCTGCAGGTCATTTCTTAGAAATGTGGATTTGGTAATCCATTCAGAAAGACTGGGTCCAGACAGAAACTCAGATAAGCAAGAAGCCAAAGGTAGACAAAAGTAGCTCAGACAAACTCCTAGGATTTGCATTTCCCCTTTTGCCTATAGAGCCAGCTATGACCCCTACATGACCTCCATAGGAATCCAGAAGGTATAAAAACCCACCCACTCTAAACTCCATTTTGTCAGCTGCCCAGAATCACATGCGGTTGGTGGTTCTGCTTCATCAATAAGGAGAACTTTTCTTTCCAATCAGCCTCCAGCCTCCATTTTGTTTCCAGCACCTTTCTCCCAGCTTGGAACTGAACCAGATGGATTTTCCTTCCAACAGTGGCAAACATATCCAATACATCTATTTCCCCCACAATAACCCTGTGAGGTGAGTTGGCTTGAGAGAGAATAACTGGCCCCAAACCACCTAGTTGGCTTTTATGCCTGGACTGGGACTAGAATTCCCAGTCTCCTGGGTTTTTTTTAGCCTGGTACCTTAGGTTTACACTTACATTTAGAATGTTATTTTGTCATGTAGTTCTAGGGTATTTTTTAGGGTGCATTGTCTATGTGATATTTTTGTTTCAGTTTAGAGTAAGAGAGTATGTTATTATATATTTGCACCAGTATGGAAGTCAGAAATATATATATTTTCTTTTGCCACTTTTTAACTCCCCCCACCCCCGACCAGATTGTTGGGGGCAATATGCTATTTAGTATACTGTCTTTGTTGTAAGCCGCCCAGAGTCCTCGGAGAGTGGGCGGCATAGAAATACGAAAAATAAATAAATAAATAAATAAATAAATAAATAAATAAATAAATAAATAATTTCTTCTGTTCCTGAACTGTTGCCAAGAAAAGCCTTTGGCAGGTTGCCTAATTATCCCAAGGTTAGAGATAAACTAAAGACTGGTGTTTTGA